CACACACACACCCACACACACACACACACCCACACCACACACACACACACACACACACACACACACACACACACACACACACACAGCTGGCCTTCGAATTCCTCATTCTTTACTTTCATCTCCCAAGTTCTTCTAGGATTACAGGCATGCTCCACCATGCTCAGCTTTTACATTGTAGTTTTCTGACTCTCCATCAGTGCCAACCTAATGCAATATAAGTAATCCAGTGGCATTCTTCAGGAAGCCATGTATCATTTTCTCATGCAGGAGGGTCTTCCCTTTCCTTTGACGGGATTCTCCTGCTAGGGCAAGGTAGACTACACCCTGTACCTCTGAGGGACTTCTCTTTGTTAACCCTTTCACACAGAGTTGAATGTCTTCCATTTTTAAGCAGTAAGTGGTGACTCTCACACTGGTACGTCTAGTGTTTTATGTGGAAATTCACATGTATACACATGTCTGTAAACGCACAGCCTCCAAACTCACATGGCCCAACTGAGCTGACAACTAACTGTTGGTGTTTACAGAATACCAGAGAAATTATGTGAAACTTTAAATACTTAACAAATTCTGAGCTGCCAATAAACTTGTGTTCATTGAGTCAACAACTAACCAGCTGACAAGAGACATGGATTCATAGCCTGCCTTTCACTTTGGTGGTTGGTGAAAGTGCTGGCACTGAGTGACTCCCAGCACCTGGTCCCCCTCTCCTCTAGAGACACAGGTTGCAGGTGCCACTGCCAGTGATGGGGACAGTGTCCTTGTTGGAGTAAGAATAGACAAAGAGACATTCATTTCATTTTCTTTGTAATTGATTTGAGATGACTGATGGTATACAAACTTAGAAGTTATTGAATTAGCTACTAATGTCAAGTTTTTAAAAAGAACAAAATATATGATTACTAAATTTATTATTTTCTACATGGCCACTTTTTCTTGTGGTGCTTTTTATACACAGACTGGATTTTTTTGTGGAACTATAATTTATATATGATATTCACCATTTTAAAGTGTCCATTTAATCATTTTTAGTATAGTCACAAAGTGAATTGGATTTTGATATTTCAAAAGTGAGTTAAAAATTGTCAAATTTAATAGCCCTCTTTTCTTATCTTGCTCCTGCTGTTAACACATTGGATTTTCTTCCAGTGTTCTTCAGCCCTCTTCTCTGTCCTTGTAGATTACGTAACCATTTGGCATTGCAGCAGAATTTAATTTTACCTGTTGATGCAACAGTGTAACTATCCCCATGTGGAAGACAGTCTGCCTTTCAAAAGGATGGTTTAGATATTCTGAGTCACATAGGCTCCACTCTGCGGCTCCTCTGTGGCTCTCCAGTGACTACCGAGTTGATGTTATGCGGGGTAAGGGATTCTTAGACCTCTGTACTCCAATGAAGGCCCGGTACACATCATAGATCTGTAGGATGTCAGTATTTCAGGGCCACATGTAATAGAAGCTTCATACATCCTCACCTTGGAGGTGAGGAAATGGTGGCATGGTGTGCTGTGTCCTGTGTCCCCTGTCAAGTGAGTGTCAGATGGAACTTGGAGACTCCTGAGCTATGACTGTAATGATCCTGCTTGGCCTTTGATCAGTTTGGGGGAGACCATTGTTGGGCAAGCAGGGCTGTGAACTCTATAGGGAACTCACCAAATGAAACAGGCCCACCTCTTCATCCTCTCATGGGCTGAGAGTGCTTGTTAGCCAAGTGATCTTAAAGAGTCATTTAACAGCCTTGATTAAGTTATCTTTTGGGACAGTGCTGTGAACCATATTCAAAAAAAAAAGACATAGGTAAATTAATCTTATTAATACACTTCCCTTAGAATATCCAAAATACTACCTAATATAATAGGAACATTATTAAAGAAGTAAGCTTTTTTTGTGGCATCTCTGCAGTCTGTTGAGTATTTTCATCTGGGCCAGCCACACTTGTGTTCGCAGCTAGTGCTGTTGTTAAGTGCATGTGTAGATTGTCACACTGCCAGGACTGGGGAAGCTCACAGAGGACTCTAAGAGCTTCACAATTGTATCTCCCAGGCTGAATTACAGCCTTGGCTTCATTTTGTTTGGCTTTCATCTAAAAATTACCTTTGAACTTGAGCAACCTTTAGACAGATATGTGCTCTTTGGTTGCCACGGTCACCCACCAGTTGCTCTGGTCAGCAGTGATGCCAGTTGTATCTTCCACCCTTTTAGGCCAGCAGCCCTCCCTTTCATATTCAGCTGGTGAAAGCACAGCTTAGAGAGGAAGTGACTTGTCCAAGGTCAATAGCTAGTTAGCAGATCCAGGAATAGCAGCCAGAGTCACTTGACTCTACATTGGCTTCCTCCTCCTGTTACATCACCATGCCAGTCACTTCTGCCTCTATCACGGGATTACAGTGAGGCCCAGATGAGCTCAGGACCTACACAGATGGGCATTGGTAGCTCATTCTTTTCTGGTGGACAGCAAGTACAGTGCAATAGTTTCATTTTTACAAGGTTTAAGCTTAGAAAGCATAGGATTTTTTGGCAGTGTCTCCTATAGTCCAGGCTGGTCTTGAGCTAACTATGTAGCCAAGGATGACCTTAAACTCCTAACCCTTCTGCTTCTACTTCTGGACTTCTGGGATTATAAGTGTGCACAACCACACCCAGTTTATGCAGTGCTGGGGATTGTGTATACTAGGCAAACACTGCCAACTGAGCCACATCCCCAGCTGCCAAGTAGTGTATCTTCTAACCTGTTATCTTAAAAGCTTAAGTGTTTCCTTCTTAACAAAAGGTAATATAGGCTTATATAAAAAAAATGCAGAAAATGGGCTGGTTAGATGGCTTAGTGAGTAAGAGCATTTGCTGTGCAAGCTTGAGGAGCTCAATTTGAATCTCAGCATTCACATAAAAAAACTGTTATGTCTACACCTATAACCCTGTCATGTGTGGAGCGGAGACTTGGGGATTGCTGTGTCTTCCTGGCAAACAGCCAACTCCAGCTTCAGTGAGAGACCGCCTCAAAGGAATAAGGTAGAAAACAATAGAGCAGGACACCTGATGTTCTCTTTCAGGCTGTCTGCTCATGGGTATATGTAACTACCCCTTGCATATACAACCCCCCCCATGAATGAGTACACACACGTGCGCGCGCACACACACACACACACACACACACACACACACACACACACACACATATGTACACACAAGGCCTTGCTTATGTACAGAATTTTGTAAATTTTATATTTGATTATGTTCTACACAAATTTCATATTGTGTATGGCTCCACTAAATCATGTGGTATAAGTAGGAAACAATTCCTTTTTTAGCCATTTCTTTTTCAGATCAGTCCCCACCCTTCTGGGTCATGTTCCTTACTTCCTATTCCCCTCTGTTTCAGATACAGGAGAGCTGTATGTCTGGGGCCGGAACAAGCATGGGCAACTGGCTTCCCTGGCTGCGTTCCTCCTTCTGCCCCAGAGAATAGATGCCAGTTGCTTTCAGGATGAAAAGGTCATTGCTGTGTGGAGTGGCTGGACACATCTGGTTGCTCAGACAGGTGAGGGTGCAGCAGAAAATTTGGGGTTGGTAAGAACAGTTGTCCAGACACTCTTTAGTACTTGGAGTTAAGGATGGTGATGGAAGGACTTTAAGTACTGAAAAGTGAAAGGCCTGGTACCTCCTGTCATCAGCCAGATGTGGCTCTTCTTGTCAGCATTACACATACAAGGCTGGACTGGTGAGGCCATTCTGCTGTTAAGAGTCCTTGAGGTTTTGAGAGTGCATCCATGACAGCCAACATGACCCAGAGGTTGGTCCAGGTACTGGTGAGTCCTTGCCTGTCATGGTTGAAGAGATGGCTTTATTTTTATTTCCACCTGATCTGAGTAAAACAGCATCAGAACATATTGGTAAATTTCAAATTGAGTTGTATAGCCAGTGTGACACTCTTGACTCTGAGGCACTGTGTGCACTGATTGAGCCCTAGTGTTCCTCAGAGTCACCACATGCCTGGCAATGCTGGTCATCTTCAACTTTCCTTGAGTCTTCATTGGTTTTCATCCTTCCCTTAGGTCAGGTCTTTTTTGGCCATCATATTCCTTTCTTCTTGGATTTTGGTTTTCCATGGCCTCTCACTCCTGCTGTCTAGGAGTCCCTGCTGATCTACAGTTTCTCAGACAGGTTGATATCGTGTCAAGACCTTCTGAACCTTAGGGGTTCTCAGAAGTTCTCTGGTCTTGCTAGCTCCATCTCAGGCTCCCAAATACCTGTTGACTGCTTTTCCAGAAGTTTCCAGCTCTCATAGGTTTTCTTGTAGCTTCAGCTCTCCTTGGTAAGTCACACATGCTGTGTGCATTTGTACTTACTCATGTCTGTGATGCTTTTAATTGACCTTTCCAGAGTATTGCTGCCATTTTGAAATGGTGGCCTGGCTAAGGATGACACAGAGTAACCTCCATGTTGCCAGGTCAAAGGATGCTCCCAGGAAGGTGTGTTGTCTGTTTGGAGGAGAGGAAAGTTGTTTCTTTCTTCAAAGAGCTTCAGGTTGCTTGAACATAGGGACAGAAAACTTCATCTGTTCATCCACCTGTCTGCCCATCATCCATCTATCCACCCATAAATGTCAGTTTATGTGCCCTTAAGGAGCCCATTAGGAGCGGCAGACCCATATCAGAATTCAGCATCATTCCAGCATGAGACATAGAAGCACAAAGCCAAGGACACAAGACAGTGAGCAGCGGCAAGCTGAGTGATTAGGTGTTAACAGGTAAGTGGCTCATGGGTAGTCTTCACACTGCAGTGCAGCAAAGCTGCTTGCCACCACACAGGAGTGAGTCTGTGGGTAATTCCTGTACCTGGTTAAGTGGCTGACTGAGAGACAGAAGTGGTGCTTCTTTGAATCACTGGAGTGGAGTGGACCTCATGTCAGGCCAGGGGCCCAGCCCTGGGGTTGGAGGTTGGCAGCTGCATTCTTGCTGGTGCTGAGTCACTCCAGCTGCTTGGGAACTCAGCTTTATGTTTCCACCTCCTCTTGAGAGCATTATTTTGTTGGTAATGCTTCAGCTGTTTAATTAAGTTGCTATTTCAGCTTGCTTATATATGTACCTCGTTCTGTTCCCCTTTCTCCCAGGTCAAGAATGGTTAAGAGCTGGGGTGTTTGGATATCTGGGTGTTATACTGAATTAGGGGTGAATGGAATGCTCCTGATTCACCACTCTGTTTTCCTTGTAGTAGCCATGACAGCCCTTGCCCCGGCCCAATGTCATTGAGAAGAAGCATCCAGAGCTTCCATTTGATCAGATTCAGCTGCTCACAGTAACAGGAACGAGTTTTCCTTGCGGGGTCAAAAGCTGCTCATCAGTGCAACATGGAGTTGTTTGACTCTGTTCCTGAAGCTCCAGTACAGCAGCACTCCGCTGCTTATGTGGAGGAATTTGTTGTGTGTTACTATTGTGTGCACAGTGACCATCCATCCCCAGAGACATGGAGGATAACAGGGAACATTGTCTTTATTCTCCATAGTCTCAAGATTGAAGCTTCCCCAGAAAGTGCAGGCAGTGGACATTTGCAAAGGTTGGAGACATTACTGGCCGTGACAGCTGGCGTTGTCCCTGACATCCAGTGGGTGGAGGTCAGAGATGCAGCTAAATATTCTAACTTTCCAAGATGCCAAGGTGCCCCCCCCCACTTGGTACAAGAAAGGTATGCAGTTCAGATGCCTGCATTGTCAAGGTGGAGACTCACTGCCTGGGACTGACATCCCCATTGGCATGTGTGCAGCCTGGGCAGTGTGGC